ACAAGCGTTTTGTTTATTAGCGCATGTTCAAAAAGTTCATAAAAAATTTTAGAGATTTCAAATGGCTGCGGATCTTAGCAACATGTTAAAAAAGTTCAAAAGGATTTTAGCTACATGTTTAAAAAGTTCATAAGAAATTTCAGAGATTTTAAAATGGCTGCGGATCTTAGATTTTTTATATAGCAACTTTTTTTTAATTTTAGTTTTGTAAAAATTAATGCTGCAACTTATTTATTAAACTCGTGATGAATGGAGTATTTGGACCAAATGTTGTTTGTTGTATTCAAACCTAGAACATAATTTTTTCATAAATGGAATAACATCAAGAAAACTGTATTAAACCAGCAATATATTTTTCTAAATTCAAATAGATTGTATTAGTAAAAAGCAAATCTCTTTCAACATTAGGTACGTGAAAATCATGATTTATGGAACCGATTGTGCTAAAATTTTGTGGCTCGTTTTTTTAAATATTTTTTAGGTAGCATTAGGCAAACGTATTTTTGTTTATTTTTAGAAGTATATATACAGATATATACTTTTTTGAAAGAAGAAAGATTAATCTTGATTTTTATATAACTTTTATGTATGGTTACTGAATTTTTTTATGGATTATTTTGGTTCTGAAAAATAGGTTAATGTTCTTACATAAACATGTAGTTGAATGAATATTGATCCCGGTCTATTTATTATTCAAACAAATTTCTGCATGCAATTATTATGCACATTTCAAATTTCAACGGAAAAAAAAGGAAGCAGATAGGTTTCAAAGGGTTCTACTACGCATACTGCATTTTTTCGGTAGTCTTAGTAAAATGTACTTTTGTAGTACTTCTTTTTAAAAAAATATGCAAATAAAGATTTGTTTTTGAAAGAAGAAAGGTTAAGCGTGATTTCTATATAACTTTTATGTATGAATACTAAACTTCTTAATGGGTTTAATTGCTTCAAATTTTGCATGATAATTTAGACGATGTTTTCACTTGAATTTGTAGTAGAAGGAATGTTGATCCCGATCTACTTATTATTTAAACTATTTTCTACATGCATTTTCTTTGTAAATGCCAAATTTATATGAAAAATAAAGAGAGCAGGCAGTTTACTAAGTGTAACACTTTTGGTACCTAATTCCTATTTTTCTGACTTTTTTTTTCGGTTATAGAAAATTACGGGGGCAGCTAGGGGAGCCATTCGCAAAACAATTGTTATTGCGAGAATGTTTATTCGGATTTTTATTATTAAATAATAATATGAAATAAAATATTGAAGTTTTGTTGGACTCTGTAACAACTAGTAAGTTATTTTTTTTAATAAAAGTTTAAGTAATAATTATTTTTAAAACTAAATTATGTTGATAAATTTAAAAATCTTTTTTAAATTCTTAACGTTTAAGACTAAAACTTCAGTATAACTGTTGCTTTTGAATTAATTGTTAACTCAATTGAGTTATATTTGAGAATACTTTGATCAAAGTATCAGTAGACAACTTTATAAAAATACCGAAACAACATAAATAAGTGTAAAGATCACATACTTTATGTGATGTTACACTTATTTATCTTTACACTTATTTACTTAACTATCAAAAGCCTTGTTAGTGTTTTTAAAATATGTTATCATCATCTTAATAAGACAATAGCCTATCAAACAGGCTATAGTGATCAATAACTAAATGGTTTTATTTTAAAATGATAATAAAATTTTTCTCGTAATTTTAAAATCAAACCATTTAATTATTGATCACAATAGCTTGTTTAATAGGCTATTATAAACAATAATTAAAAGATAAAGTAGTATATAATTTATATATTTCCATTATCTAAACATGTTAATTATTAAATCCAAAAACAAAGTAGTATACAATAAATTAATGTTTATAGTCAATTACAGTTATAACTTTTTTTACTAAAATACTTTAGAAAACATAAACTTGATCATTAAGTTAAAGTTTTAAAGTGTTTTAATAATGTTAAAGCAATATTAATAGTATAAAAGATAAAATTATTATTAACTAATAATATTCAATAACAATTTTATCTTTTATACTATCAATATTATTTTATAATAATAATTTTGAATTTTAAATTTCAAATTAATAAAAACTTATTAATAATTATTAATTTATTGTTTACTACTTTAACTTTGTAGCATTATTCCAAGTGTTGGATTGTTGTTTGTAATTAGATTTTTTTTAAATAATTTCATTGTTAATTTTCTATTTAAGTTTTCAATTTGCCATTTATTGATGGCAGAGTTGAAAAAAGTAAACAAGTAATACAAAGCAGAATTTATACTATTTCTTATTGGAAACAAGATGGAACTAATATTGAACTGTCATTAGATTAAAAACTCCAGCAAGTTGCTACTGTTATATCAGGGAAATTTATATTTTCTTAATTGGAATATAAAATTATTGTAAAAATGCTCACAGTATAGGAAGTTTGTAACCAGGAAAATAACTGCCCCAAGTTTTATGGCTTACAAATAGGTTTTGCAAGTTTTGTGGCTTGAAAATAATGTCAACAAGTTTTTTGACTAGCAAATAAGTACCACAAGTTTTGTTGCTTGCATATAAGGTACAGCAGGTTTTGTGGCTTGCAAATAGGTATTGGAAGTTTTGTGGCTTGCAAATAGGTACTTCAAATTTTGTGACTTGCAAAATAAGTAACGCAAGTTTTGTTGCTTGCAAACAGGCTCGCCGTGAGCCTTTGCGGCGCCCAGGGTCAATATTTCCCAAGCGCCCTGCTGAAAGTGAAAGCCGATCTAATGATCCATAATTCAATACATATAATAAGCCATTTGATAACAAAACAAAGAGGATAAAAGAATATAGAATTTTTTAATTTTAATTAATGAACATTTGAACAGTTTATTTCTAGATAATTGCAATGGTCTTTTGACTTGGTTATACATTCATACATAAAATGATAAAGTCGACATTAGAACATGGTAGAAACTGACCTAAGACAATTATTAAACACTATTGGATGTTAAGAGCAAAAATTTGTCTAGAATACAACAGCTATTGTTGTTTCAACTTCAGAGGAAATTGATCTTTCGAGCTTTACTCATGGCGAATTTGGAAATCACTTCACCGTAGCACAACTTTTTGGCAAGATCATGCTCAATGGAAATAACCAGAAGATTCGTGAGTCGTTCTTGGCTCTCTAGTTAAGACAGCTTAAAGCTGTCTTAACTAGAGCATGCTTACTAAAAGATCTCTCGCCTTCCGCAACAGAAACAGGGATGGTGTTGAAGATGCGCAGCAAAATGCAGACTGATTCGAAGAGCGGCAGAAGACCTTTCTGGTATATTCCATTCAATAACGTCATGGAAGTGAGAGATTCTTTTGAACCAAAAAGATTGGATCGCTTCAGAGTATCAAGGTGGCGGACCTCTTCAATAAGTTTCTCTTCCTCAACATCGGTCGCGTAGATTTGTGCCAAGACCTTGCATTTCTCCTCCAATTGGATGGGTGCTTCAACACTTTCTTCTGATTCTTCTTCATTTGACATAACAAGACATTTCAATGACCACAAGAACGAAAACATATTTGTCGTCTTCTCAGCAGCTTGGAATCTATCGCTGACCTGCTGAATAAGAGTATCAAGAGCGGTATTGAATACGCTCACCTCAAACTCTTTTGCTTTGTCTTCATGGAAATGAGCGATGTTCCTCACCTCTTCGTGAAAGGTCTTCCTTTTTTTCGTCCTTTTCTTTATAAATTCTGATTGAAAACCAAAAGAAGCAAGACAAGATGCTATCAAACGTGCCTCATTAAAGATGCTGGTCCATGATGATCTCAGTCGATTTAGATCTTCAATAAGAGTCTTAATGAGTTTCATCTCGTCGTCCAAGGCGATATTTTCTGATTGGAGTACAAGGCTCACGTAGTTGATTGATTGAAGAGTTTTATACCAAAAAGTTGTCATTACAATGAACTCGAATGAACCCATTTCTCCAGTGATTTTACTTCATTCAATTGATCAGCTGTTAAATCAAAATCGCGGAGCTTTTTCAAAGATTCGAGGATTTCCCTGGATCGCTTGACTAACGGCTTCACGGCCTTGATTCGCGCACTCCATCTGGTTTGCGACGTTTGATGAAGGGACAAACCAGTGGTTTCAATCAAGACTTTCCACCGACTAGGGCTTCCACTGAAAAGATTGTAAAAAGACTGGACTCGGCCAAAGTAGTTCTTGACTTCAACCAAAGATTCAGCAGAATGAACACCAGCAAGGTTGAGACTATGAGCCCTGCATGGCATATAGAAAGCTTGAGGATTTTTTTGCAGTATAATCGTCTGTACTCCTTTGTATATACCGGACATGTTCGCTCCATTGTCATATCCTTGACCTCTGCAGTTTTTGAGATCGAAGACGTCCATAATAAGCTTGGCAATGTCTGCACCTATCTTTTTCAAGATTCTCGACCCTCAGATAGCGCTCCTTCACGGTCCATCTTTTGTCAGTACCAAAGTATACAAAGCGGAGAACAAAGGTGATTTACTCGGTGTGAGAGACGTCCGGAGTCCCGTCCTCAAGAATGGAATAGTAGATGGCCATATGAGCTTCGTTGATGATGGCACCGTGAACGATTCCTCCGCACTCTTTGATGAATTAATTTTGAGTGCTCCAGCCCAAGTAATGGGCATTCATTTTGTTACCTTCTTGTTGGCAGCGGGAAACTTCTTGAAAGTGTAGTTGGAGAGTCTTGTTGTGCCATGAGCTCTAGGCCAAGAGCTCTAGAGTAGCTAGAAAGTTGCCATTGTCGTCATCTCCAATTATTTTTGATGAACCTATAAATTATAAAAATAAAACAGATTTATTTAAAACAATAAAGAAGCATTTGTTATATTTTAAGATGATTCTATGATGATTTTATTTTATGATTTATGAATATTATAGCATATTTATTTAAAAGAATATAAAAGGATGTGTTTTATTTAATGATTTCCAAAATATCTAGTTAATCTAATAAATATAAGCTAAATAGATTTAAAAATAGTCGATATCACAATAGAATAATGGTAAATAGATTTACCTCTAAAACTAAGGTTTCGTGACGCTAAAAAAAGGGTAATATTTAAGATGCATTGTAGAATTTCACGCCACCTGGCTGCTTCATTTCTTATCGAGTTTTCAAGAGCTGCATCTATTCCGCTTTGATTTTCTAAGCTTTCTAACGCCGTTTTCCATTCTATGTAAAAGTTTCGATGCTGGGCGTTATTCTGGTGACTTTTGACTTTCTCAGGTAGCTTGTGCCAGTTGCAGCTTATTCCATCATTCCATCTTAGAAGGTGCGACTGGTGTCCGATCCCAAAAGATTGTTTGCTTCCAAACAGAGAACACGGAAAGCAAATAAATGATTTCTTAGATACACTCCAGACCAGCCAATCTCGGCATGTCTTCTCCCCGTTGAGAGAAGTTTTGTAGAAAATTGATTCAGGAACCTTCTTCTTATTAGAATCTTTCGGGAAAGCTGAAGGATTTCGAGGAAGCCCCTGTAGAAGCACAGAATCTCTTTCCACTTTGGAAAGATGTGGTGCCCACAAAGCAGGATCATTGGAAGGAATGGTAGCGATGGGTTCTTCTGTTGGCAACACCTGAGAAAAAATTTTAAAAAATCTTATTTTATTACCTTAAAAGTTCATTAACATCATTTCTTTTAAAGAGGTAGAACTTTCCAAAATGTTCTCTTCATTCACAGCTACCATTCCGATTTTTGATAGGGGCTCTCCCGAGCTTTCAGAAATGTCAGTGACATCGTTTTCAGTTCCAACCTATAAGAATAAGTTAAAAATATATATAACATTGAATTAATCAAATGGGAAAATATCCTTTCACGGGGAAAACACTTTCACTACTTGAATCGATTGACTTGGCAGGGAAGAGTTTAAAAGTGTAGGACTTTCATCTTCTCCTTTTTTAGTAACTGTAATACCACAGTCTTGAAGAGTGCGTTTGTTCTTTTCCTCATTCGCAGTTCTTTGAGCAGCATTCATTCTTACTTGACAACCAGAATCTTTCTTTTTAAAACCAGACATGTTTTAATTCTTTTTGAAACAGCATCCGCTCATAAGCAAAGAACTGTTTGAATTTCTTCTTGATTGGGTCTATCAGACTATCACATCGATAAAAAAAACCCGTTATTTACTGTTTTATGATGCCAAAGTTATTCTAAATTCTCAAATTGTTTATACTTACATTAAGAAGTGATGATATACACGATGAATATGCAGTATCTGACTTTTTAAATGAGTTATTTATTGTAGAACACAGCACAAACGTGTATATTTTCACGTGTTTCAAAATTGTTTCAAATTTGAGAGATTTTAAAAATTAGAGAAATAAATTTAATAAAATTGTTTTAATATTTTATATCAATATCAAACTACTTGGATTTAATCTAATCTCTTTTTATAATAAAGTAAAAAATCTCCGTTTTTAATTGAATAAAAATCTCCGTGCACTAAGGTTATTTTAAACATTTACTTCAGCCGCTGAAGTAAATGTTTAAAATAACTTTTTATTAATTTAACAACCCCCTGAATTTCAGCGGGTTTTTAAATTAATCATTAGTATTCACTTTATTTGCGAGTTTCCGCTATATAAAAAGAATCGCTTTATTTAAAACTAATGTTTTGAAAGTAATGCTAATTTCTTAGTTTTAAAGGATTAACTTCTTTTTTTATTTAAAAAGTCTAATTATGAAGCACTTCATTACAAAGTAGAAAATTTAAACTAAAAAAAATTGACCGGCCAAAAAAAGCAATTGACCGTCTATTATATGTTTTAGCTGGTCAAATTGGCCGGCTGCTTTTGATTTCTTATTTTCCACGCTGCTTCCCAGTACTTCATCTTCTTTTTAAATAAACATGAAGAAAAAAGTTATTTATATTCGGCTTCGTGCACCCCTGTCGACCTGGCGTTCGGGACAAAACAACCGAGTAGACCCCTTCCTCACGGCGGCCCTGCTTGCAAATAAGGTACAGTAAGAATTGTGGCTTGCAAGTAGGTACCGCAAGTTTTGTGGCTTCCAAATTAATAGTTGGCTCTAGTATACCTTTACGTGGTGACTATTGTTAAAAATTATTCATTTTGTTTTGTTAATGTAATTTAAAAATTAAATTATTTACTAGAAGCCCAGACAAGAGCTAATTACATTTTTTAATTTAAAAAATTTGTTTTTTTTGTGTGTTTTTTTCTCAGGTTGGAGTGGTTAACCTGTTCCTTTACATGATAATGTATACTCAGATGCATTTTGTAATGCGGTAAAATTGTTTTTTATTCTAATTTCTTTTTCTTTAAAAAAACATTTTAAGACTTCTTTGTTAAATTGTAATTAAAATTTTTTTATTTGGTTCCGACAAAGGAGGGGGATAGCTTGCTCCTCTTTTCATAAAGATAAATTATACACCTCTAGGTGTATAAATTGCCTTTATAAAAGGGGATGCATAAAGGCAATTTTACATACTATATTACACTTTTTTATTTCAAAAGGCTTTTTGTTCTCGTGTCTTTTTTTTTTAGGTTGGAGTGTGTAATCCGTCTTTTTTGACAAAATGGTTACTCTGATGCATTTTGTAATGTGTTAAAATATTTTTTTATACTAATTTCTCTCTGTTTTTTTAAAAAAGCATTTTAACATTTTTTTGTGAAATTTTCATAAATTTTTTTTTTCAGGTTCATGGCAGAGAGGGAAGGGAAGTATACGCCCTCTTCCATCAAAGCAATCTCTACACCACTAGTTACTCTTTGTTATAGTGTTGAAATATATTTTTTTGTTTTTTTTAATAGATTTTATCATTTTAGTAAAGATGGTAATAATTAAAAGAATGAAATTTTGATAGGGTGTGTTAAACCTTTCCTAAAACCCAACACCCAACTTTAAGACAAACCTGTAGTATTTGCTAGTGATGTTTAATAAATATTAACTTGTTCTATTTAAATATTACTAATTTTATAAAAAAAACACTTGATTTAAAAAGAAAAGTTGTATTTTTGTAAGGTGTAGGTGGCAGATTAGCATCCCTCTGTATCCCTCCATGCGCCCTTTACCTAGACACTAGTTTGAAATTATAGCCCATTTTTACATCTATCTTTTGATACTAAGTTATAGATAATTAATAAAGAATTGTCAAAGTTATAATAATTTATGTAGAAAAAAAATTTTTTTTGACCACAGTTTTATCAAGAAATCCATATATTGAAAAACTGCTACTAAAAACGTTATATTTCTTTATAGAATTGTCTAATTTTCATAACTTTTGCACCTTTAAAGTACTGTATTTGAGGGCTTTCCAATGATATATAGCATTCTAGTATTGGATCAATTTAAAAAAATCAGTCTACGTACCTATTAATATAAATTATATTTCTCAAACATACTACAAACACGCTAATATGATATATTATATATACTTATAATTTATGAACCAATAATTTTTTATGAATATCTAATCTAAAAACAAGATATTTAAGTTAATTTACTTTCAAGAATACCACTCTTTTTCTAATATTCTTTTCTTTCTATTTAAAATCAAATTGTGTGCTCTTGTTCATCTAATAAATTGTCTATTTGTCTGAAATCACACACAAGTTGCCAAACCCCTTCCAATCTGTAATTTCTTTACTTCAATAAAAAATTCTCAATTTATCTTCTTCTTTTAGAAACCTTAAATTATATATTCTAAATCATTGTTCAGTTAAGTACAAATCACATCACAAACCAATACATAAAATCATGAAATAATTTATTATTTTTTATTCATAGAATAATTTATTTTTTATATTCACTTTATATCACTAAACTTTACTACTAAAACTCATCTTTATGTCTTTTCATTTTGGAGAAATGTAATTACTGTTTGTAAAATGTTGGCCTTATTGTGGGTTATTATTATTGCTCTTGGTATGATTATATGTAATATAAATATCAAAGTTATTTTACTTCTATTTATATCACTATTACTTATTGTTATTGTTTAATATTAAATATAATATATATCAATATTAATGTTACTATTATTATTGTTGTTGTTATAATAATATAAATACAATTGTTAACATTACTTACTTCGTTATAATTGTTTTAAAATTGTTATTGCTATTATTATACAGTTGGTTTTTACTTAAGATTGGTATTAGTACTATTTTTAAATTCCATGTTTATGTTGCATACATACACATTTATGACATATGTGTGTGTTTTCTTTTAAGCAATTGCAAGTTTCCAAATACATGCAAAGTAAAGTAAGAAAAGAAAACAATACTTTTCAATTAGTAAATTTAGTAATATTAATTAATTTAAATTTTTTACATTTTTTATCCTTATTTTTATAACATGATTAATTAAAATGCACTAGAACTTTGTTCTGGTGCATTTTAATTGAACTAAGTGTAGAATTTTAATTTATTAACCTGGGTAAATAAATTTCCAATTGAGCGAGTTGATAGAGTTGCAGCATTTTTAGAGAAATATTAATGTTTCCCTAATTTGCTATTGGTAAAAAAAAAAAAATTTAATTTCATATATTAATTGGATAAAATGAAATACTGTTTGAAAATTACAAATCCTTTTTTGTATGAGAAGGTATTTTTAAAACGACTATATCCTCTAATGGGTTATTGTATAAGTTTTCTCTGCTTTTTAAAGTTGTATGCTTTTTTTATTATTATTATTTAATTCAGATTGTTGGCGACATGGCACATGTATTAAAGTCTTCTGTCACAGTTGACTCAGCAAGAATGAAGACATTGATACCATTTTGCATTATGGAATACACAAGTTGGCAGTTCCTCGCCCACTGCCACCCAAATACAGGTAGGTATGCTGCATACACAACCTTCAAAATTAGTTTGAAGGTTGTGTATGCATTTTAAGATATGAAAAGATATTATTGTTAAATTTTGAGTTTGTAAAATTTATTTTCAGGTATAAGAAATCCTTATCTGTACGTAACAGACGATGGAGACGAAGTGATTATTATGTGTGGCAAAAGATTATTTTATGAAGTTTTTTTTTTCTGACTTCGTGATGGAACTTATTGGAGTACACTCTTTTTGGACATAGGAGGAGTATTGCCGCAAGAAGAACAATAAAAAAACATTCCAAAGAATAATAGTTATTTCAACGATTAGGTTTGTTGTTTAAATGTATAAATGTTTGTTTAATATTCTTATCATATATCATCCTAATTTCAAAATAATGTTTCATTTTTTTCATAGAAAGAGTACTTTTGTAATATTGTTTTATAGTTCAGGGGAAATATTATTGAAAAAAAAAAAATTCTTATTTTAAATAAAAATAACATTGAAGCAAGTAAAAAATGATTTCTTTTAAGGAATATAAGTTCTTGATACAAAAAAAAAAACAACATAATTTTAAGAACATAAGTTCATGAAACAAGAAAAAAAGTTCTTGTTTTAAGAATAAAAATTCTTAAAACAAGAAAAAAAATTGTTATATTAAGAATAAAAATTCTTTAAACAAAAAAAAAAAATTCTTATATTAAAAAAAAAAAATTCTTCAAACAAGAAAAAAAATTCTTATATTGAGAATAAAAATTCTTAAAACAAAAAAAAAAAAAAATCTTATATTAAAAAAAACAATTTTTAAAACAAGAAAAAAAATTTTATATTAAGAAAAAAAATTCTTACATTAAGAAAAAAAGTTCTTAAAACAAGAAAAAAATTCTTATATTAAGAATAAAAATTCTTATTTTAAGAATAAAAATTTGTTTTAAGAATAAAAATTGAAACAAGAAAAAAAAAATATTTAAGAAAAAAAGTTATCAAAACAAAAACAAAATTCTTATTTTAAGAATAAAAATTCTTGAAACAAGAAAAAGTATTCTTACGTGGCGGACAAGTCATTTTTTTCTTGTTTTAAAACTTTTTTTAGCTTAAAACAAGAATCTTTGATTTTGCTGTGTGGTAGCAGACTTTTGCAATAAAGTAAATATTTTTTATTTGCTATTATATAAATTGCAATAAAACATAATTAAAACAAAAATTTATATACAAGCTTTTGAGTTTTAGTTTAAGAAGCTTTGATATGCTAGCTATTTTTAAAGTATTTATTAATATCCTAATTTTTTTTTACTGAATAAGTTTTTTATTTATTAAAAAAATAAAAATAGAAAAACACTTTTACACAAATTTTAATTGTTAGTATTGCACTTCTAAAAAAGGTAGACGTACTACCGTAGGGTAGAATATGTGATATGACCTTTGTATGGTAAAACTTTTTTAAAAAACTATATCTTTAAAGGTAAAATTTTTTTTTCTTTTAAAGTAGAAAATTATACAACAAATCATTATTTTAAATATAATTCATTTAATAATTAAAATATAATTTTCTATCTGAGGTAGATAGGTATGTTGTATTTATGATATACCACATAAACCCTTTAAATCATCTAAAATGATAAAATTGTACCTGATTTTTCTTCTTTCCAGAAAAGATACCAACATAATAAGAGTGATATATAAATTATCAACTCATCCAGCTAAGTAAACATTATATAGAATATAGAGTTTATATGCTCTATTAGCTAACATTTTAAATAAATATACTCTGCATCAATGACACTAAGCATTTATACCCATATACATCCATAAAGTAACTTAAATTCTAATATAATATAAGCTATATAGTTTGAATATGCATATTCATATCACTGTCACGTAACTACATTTATCAACAGTTGATGTATTTATTTCATGCTAACTCATCTTTTTATTCGGAATACGAAAAATGTATGCAATCCAAATTAATAACTTAAAACTGAATAACCAAAACAACCACAATTTTCTCGTACCATTTCAATATTTATCACAAGAATAAATGCAACTTAACTATAGCGAAATACAATGTTTATAATTTGATGCACTCTAAAGTAGGCTGAGCACTAGTATAGAGAGGAACTTGAGTGTTATAAGAAAACGGTCCGCGTGTCCAGACTAGTTAAATACTATGACTATGTATGCATATTATGCATAGCTTTTGAATGGTGTGCGCATATATATGCCGATATGCATATAAATTCCGAATCGTATTTTATATATATATATATATATATATATATATATATATATATATATATATATATATATATATATATATATATATATATATATATATATATATATATATATATATATATATATGTATATATATATATATATATATATATATATATATATATATATATATATATATATATATATATATATATACATATATATATATATATATATATATATATATATATATATACATATATATATATATATATATATATATATATATATATATATATATATATATATATATATATATATATATATATATATATATATATATATATATATATATATATATATATATATATATATATATATATATATATATATATATATATATATATATAGCGACTAATTATTAACCAATATCTATAATCTTTTAATATATAGGTTGATTAGGCGTTCATTAGATGTTTATAATATTTATTAACATAAGTCACCTAGCTGACCCAAGAATGCCAAATAAATGGAAAGGTACCTTGCAATGTAAGTTTTTGAAGTCTTCTAGTTTCGTCCGTGTAAAAAAGTTTAAATCGAATATTTAAATTAAGTTTTGACTTCCTAATATGCTAATACAAACACTTGTAGAATGAGAACCACTCTATATAATTTGATAAAATAAGTGCAAATGTAGCTTACGTCCACACCAAACTCTGAATAAAACCTAATTGGTTAACTGGTTTAGTAGATTAATTATTTGTGTATAGTAAGAAAAGAAAGGGTCGTAATTTAGAACACTGTAAAATTCCACAATTTATAGCATTTTTTGTTGTTTCTATTTTATCATACTGTACGTATTGTTTCTGTTCGACAAGAAATTTTCAAAGTGTTGTGAATTTCTATTTTTTATTGTTTTTTTTTTGTTTTTTTAAATAAAATATAATGATTTACGGTGTTGAAAGCTTTGGACAGATTATTGAGAACTCCAAAACAGACTTCTTTAACTAACTCTACTATAGCGTGCAATTTAGAGAAATACGATAAGACAAAAACACTAATTACTTTTTTTTGTTTTTATTTTTTCAACTTATAATACTTTATTCGTTGCTTTGTTTTATTTTTTAAGATATCATTTAACGTGATTAATAAGGCACAATAACTCATTTCAGCGAGTAACAACCTGAACTGAATAAGAGTCTCCTTTTTTGTGATTTTTAAATGAGAAAGTGATTTTTCTGATTTTTAAGATTAGAAATATGCAATGCACCGTCTTTCAGCTCTTATGTTTTGTTCAAATTAGTTCTGCACGATTCGCTAAGTCCTTGTCGTACCCATGAATCACTGATGTTGATGTTGGCCTAGTACAGTTGACGTAAAGGATCTGCTTGAAAAGAAGTAAGCTATCTTAAACGTTTTTCCAAAATTGCGCAAGCACACAAATTTTCAATTTTTATCAAAAATCTTTGCTTTTTTGGCCAACTCACTAAATCAAAATCTGCTTTTTAGGAAATTTAACTATAAATTTTATTTGAGCATACCTACAACATACCTACAACTATTATTGATTATAAACTATTAAAATCAAGAAAATATTTACATAAATTTTAAGAAAATAATTCTTGAATAATTCTTTCCTAACAAGGAAACCATTTTTTAAATTTTGTTCGATGAAACAGCCCATAAAAACATATTTACTGTTTTTGAAAGAAATATTCTTTTCTTCATAAAAACTTTTACTTTTCATAGAGATTTTGTCTTTTCGTGCCTAAGAAACTTTTTTAATCAAATTTTTAAAAATTTTGGTTTAAAACAACTCTAATCTGTAAAGATTAAATTTTTTTCGAGTTGGCCCTCCAAATCTTACCTTATCAAAAATTTTTAAGTAAATTATCGTTTTAAGTCAATATAAAAAAACATTTGGCTTTTTTGAGGTTTTTCTGTTACAAGAGGAAATTTTGTTTTTTTATTATCTGTTTAGGTATCTTAAGAAAACCATTTTTTAGCATATTTATGCATTTTGACAGTAGTGTAGAAATTTTTATGCTATGCATATGCTATGTCTCTACTTGGCATATGGGTCAGCAAGATGTTTAATATTTAGATCTGGACTCAAATCTGGATTTTAACTTAAAAAAAAAAAAACTTGTTTTACTCAAGGAGTTTTTACTAACTTTAAGACTTTATAATCACAGTTAATTGTAAAAGTGTGAAACTAATTTTAGCATTTTTTAATTTCTAGCATTTTATAGTAGCAAACTTATTTTAGTTTTTTTATTTTTATCACTTTTTTTTATAATTTTTGTAGTAACTTTTGAAGAAGCATAAGGTATCAACAGTGTTACTAGTTAAGCTACTCCTAAATTTGATTGCAAACAATCTGTACGCAAAGGATTTTTCACTATTGACAGATGTTGGTTGAACAGCTTTTAAAAACTGAGTCTTTAAATTAGAAGTACATTTATCTGTTTAAAAAAAAAACAGAAAATTTTGTATTGAGAGATTTTATATGGTAGGGTGGGTTAATCTAAGTAATTTTAAGCCAAATTTGACTTTTACAAAAATATAATAAAAACAATTTATATATATATATATATATATATATATATATATATATATATATATATATAAGAAGACTCTTAAAATCTTGATTAGGGATAATTTTTAGTAAGCTACATTAGGAAAAGAGCACTGAAAGTGTTAAAGTGGGTCTATAGAACACAATTCTTGTATTGTATAGATCCACATTAACCCGTACTGTGCTGTAATATGATTTACGTTACATTCTTTTATAATGAAATATACCAACTGATTTTAAAATATGGCTAAAGTCATTGGGGATAAATTATATTTAAATTACTTGATTGAAAGTTTTATCATAAAATTACTTCAATAAATATTTTAAATGCAAATAAACTTTACTTGTTCAAAGCACTAAAGTAGAAATGCAAAATGACAAATTTTTTATCTGTGTTAGCTCCTTTTCAAGGAATGCAGATCTTTCGTGTGGTTCAATTTTCATAGTTTAATTACAAATTTTCTAAATATATAAAATAAATCACATAATAATTCCAAATTGAATATGATATTGAAATTTAAAAATCGAAGTACTTATAAAAAGTCAAAACATGATCAAATTGTGTTTAAGGAAGAATTTCAAGATAAAGCTCAATTGAAAATTTTCCAAAGGTTTTATCGTTATATATAAAAAATTCCTTATCATAAAAATAAACTACATGTTTACATAATATAAATTCAATGTGTGATTTCTTATGTGTTAAATTTCGTTTTTAATACCCTTTTTTTGAAGTTTAAGGTTTTCAATAAAATTCTCTCATTAAATGTCTGCGCCACTTTAAATAAAAGTATACTTCAGATTTTGTCTAGTAAGCTGATATTTAAAATTTAGAGTGCTGTTTTAACCACCAATAACATACAGAAAAAGTTTAAAAACAATTTATATATATATATATATATGTATATATATATATATATATATATATATATATATATATATATATATATATATATATATATATATATATATATATATATATATATATATATATATATATATATATATATATATATATATATATATATATATATATATATATATATATATATATATATATATATATATATAAGAAGACTCGTTTGGCAAGTTGAGCAAATACCTTAAAAAATGGGTCTTATCCAAGTGCAAAATTAAAATTTGAACATGAATTTATAAGTTCATGTTCAAATTCTAATTTTAAATGCATTATTAGCAGGTGATTTTTTTAAACAATATTATTGTGAGAACTTTTTTTAAAGTTTGAAATATAGTATTTTGCATCAACAGGTTTTTCAAACTATTTTCAAATTCAACGCAGCCTAGATTCTAAACTCTTTACTGTCTCTTCTCTGTCATAATTAGGCATTAAATAGAAATAAAAGATATGATTTGATGGATAGTTTAATCTAGCCGACCGAGTTTAACCATAACAAATGCATCGTCTCTAGTTGTACTAACATTATTAAAGTCCAGTTTAAACATATCTCAACAGCGTTTTCAGATGTAATACTCCCTACAACACATTGAAGTCCAAGATTATAAAGACATCTTTTTGTGCACATTAATTTTCATACAACAACGTGTTTTAATTTATGTGTTATTCATCAAGATTTTTTTATTATTTTATCAAGTATTATTTGGGGATAATCATTGCTGCCGCAACAGCTTTTACCCGGAGTCACTAAATAGGGTAGAAACAAATAAGTACAACAATAACACCTGCCCCACCCCCTTCTTTTTTATGAAGAATCTTTTCTTTTCTTTTTTTTTTTTAGAAATTTCTAGAACTTTTTTCAACCAACTTATACATGTTTTGATGATAACCGCATAGCATATATGCCATTTAAATGTTAATCAGCTTTTAGATCGTATTTAGAGCCTTGGAATAAATAGTACCAAGACTCAACTGGTTTAATTCTCAAACTCAACACTGGGTTTAATTGTAAACGCTCGTAGTTTTATTAAAACTAGATTAAATAATAAAAAACACTGTCCTTTTGAACATTTGTTCAAAAGGACAGTGTTTTTTATTATTTTATCTAGTTTTAATAAAACTTAAAATCAAAAAGAAAAACTGTAATTTTAGTTATAACGTTTAATATATTTTTGTTAATTAATATTTTAAAGTATAAAATTCATATATATTTTTAAAAAATATAAAGTTAGTTTGCTTTATTTAAAAGGTTTAAAAAAATCTAATAATAGATAGGCTTGACTTACTTTACGGTCTGATCTTTATAACAAAAACTGTTAATATCTCGCAAAATACAGTTGATTGATTTTGTTAAAAATAAAAGTGATAGCTGTTTGTTAAGGTTTTAGGCTCTCCTCCTTTAAAAATGCTTGTTGCACTCTCCTAAAGTTAGGTCGTCGTACAATTATAAGGACTTTTTTTATTGACACTTAAAGATAATTAGATAACATTAAAAACTGTTTATAAATTTAAATTTAGTACACTTAGTATATTTATTTTATAGTATATTTAGAAGGTAAGTTAATAAAATATTAATACAATAAAATTAAATTTTATATCAAATCACCGGCTTACGTTTGTACAGCGGAGAAACACTTTTAAACAAAACTATTGTTCGTAGGCTCCAATTATACAAAATTTTTTTAAAATATTCTCATTTGCCATAAACATGAACATAATTAACTTTGAAATTTGCACGATGCCTAAAAGTAAAAACTTTATATATAGTTTTATTATAATGCTATGTAATATACAGTGTATTTAATTTTTTATAAATTTAATATGATTTAAAAAAATAACGTTATAACAAAATCATTTAATTTGGAGTAAGTTAAAAACAAAATTATTTAAACTTAAATTAAGGTAAATTAAACTTTTTTTAAATATACTTGCCTCAGTTTTGTTATTGCTTAAAAAGTTATAAATTTATCTTTTAAACAACTTATTAAAAGAAACTTTAGCTTGTGTTAATTTAAACATAGTCTAAAATACTCAAAAAACTTGACATAATATTTGGACAACTCCTTTTCATAAACGTTGGCGTCAGTCGGTTATTAGTTTAAACAATCAAGATATTTACGTAAACTATCTGGTTTGCAAAATAAATAATTAGATTGTTTAAAAGGAAAACACTAGAGATCTTGTAGTGGACTAACATCTAAAAATTTAATAAAAATGTAATATGCCACACAAGACTTTCAATGTTTTGTAACTTGATATGATTATATATAAATATACTATGGAAGCTTTTTTGTTTGTTTGTTTGGTTTATTTGCCGTTTAATAACATTTACAATTTATTAGTCTATAAAAAAAAAACCAGCAAGTAGATGGAATTATTTTGGCTAATCACTGAGCTTATATTGTTGGTATTTACAATAACCGCGTTATATATGTTTACTTTACAAATTATTTATTGAAAACTATACATATAAAATAAATAACAATTAGCTTAAAACATACTCGAAGAACAATATTTACCTTAAGATTAATAATCAAGTAAAAAAGAAAAATTAAAAGAAAAAAATAATAATAAAAAAATAGACTAAAAAGCACGTATATACTAGAGTCGTAATAAATACGTATACTTTACAACTTTTAATAAATACGTAAAATCTAATAAATACGTATACTTTACAACTTATTTATTGAAAAATATAAAAGTAAAATATATAATAATTTGTAATAAAGTAATAATTTAGTAAAGAACAAAAAGTTAAAAATAAAAGGGTACTTAAATTTACAAAAATCGTAATATATATGCATATTTTTAGTATACATATTGGTTTTTAAAACCAATTTGTATAAAAGTAAAAAAAATATTTTTTTATTGAAGTTTAAAAATATATAACTTATATAATTTTAGTTTTTACCTAACTTATATAATTTTAGTTTTGAAGAAGCATTTAAAATCGGGTATGTTAGTATCCATTAATATTAATACCAGTTTCGATTCAATTTTAAACTGATGTATACCAACTTTTTTTGTATTTGTAGTCTTAGGAAACGTTTTCCACAAATAAAGTTCACGAATATGTAATTCGTCTTGAATTATATTTAGGGACAATGTATTTATTATCTGAAAATTTTGTCAGGTAATTATTAACTACTTTTTCAATATAGCACTAAAATAATTTAGGAAAGAGTCCCATCTTTGTTTTATATATGAACGTTAAAACTTGGTATAAGTTGATTTTATAAACGTTATATGCGCCAAACGTATACGCAGAAGAGGCTCGCATGGTAGAGTTTTATCAATTAATCAATCAATTAATCTATTGATTAATTGATTAATAAAATTTTCAACATTTATCAACTAACAATGAATGAAAGAAAAATAAAACTTTTTAAAGATATTTTATTTAGAAATGATTATTTATAATTTTATAATTAAATTTGGCAGTCCACGGCCTACTTTATTTATACGGCCGGATATTTTGTATTTTGAAGAAAAAAATAGAAGGCCAGTTTTTAAAATCGCAATGTTTCAAAAACTTAATACGTTTTGAATAAAGTTACTTCACTTTCTAAATTTAAAAAGTTCACAAAAGTAGTATATATTCATAACTTTACATATTAAACGAACATAAGAAATAAATAGTCTTTTTTTTTAAATTTAGAATTAGTAAAAACAATGAAAGAAACTAGAATAGTTATAAAAAATATTTAAATACTTTTCTTTTTTTATTAAAAAATAAAATAATTATATAATTTTATTAAGTTTTCTCAAACTTTCTTATTTTAAAAGATTTAACATGATCAACAGTAGTCAACAAGTTTATTTTTTTTTTCATTCATTGTTATTTATTATATGTTGAAAATTTTATTAATTAATCAATCAATCAATAACTACTTTGCTGGTAATTCTTTTATTATTAAGGAAAATGTTGATAACAATTCTTCCAGCAAGTTTTATCCCAGTTATCTCATGTGTGGGACAAGAAAAATCTGAAAAGAGTCATAAAAGTGGTTCAAAAGTTATTCTAAAGCTTGTCGAGAATGTAATTTAAGTTTCATTATTTTGTTATATGAGAAGTCAATCATAGCAAAGGATGAGCAAAAATAATCCAAAAGTGATGGTTAAAGAATAGTAAGACCACCCCTCTCATCAATGTTGACACAACATAAAAAATCTTTACAACATGTACAAACACCTTTTTTAAGTTTATTTACAATATATTCAGCAATATGAGCAACTATTTCCCTACTTTCTGGTGCAAGTGTCATGATTTCTAGAGTACACTGAGTTTTATCAATATCTAGAAGAAAGTCTTTAAAATCTGTTAAATTATTTTCTGACTCATTACGCACTTTCAAACTATCATTAAAGTTAATACTCTATTTAACTATACTTTTGATTTTTTAATATTTTTCCAGAAATAGTGACATTTTTTAAACCCACCAAAAATCTTCTACCACTTATTTGTCTATATTGTCCAAATCTCCTTTCTAATGGCTCACTTTGAAATCTCGCAGTTAAAAAAATGTGATATTCATCATTAAGTAAGTCTTCCATCAATGAGGCATGAATATTAAGTGTTCTTATTATGGCTGCAACTGTCTGAACACTTAAAGTAAACTTTGCACAGTTTGGTATTTTTGGTGATTGTCAAGCTTCAATCCAATGTGCCATTTCCCAACGAAAATAAGGCTTTTTATCAGCAGCATAGCCTTCATTACCTAAAATATTACATGTTGAATACTGAAATTTAGAATTTGATAAAACTCACCAATTATTAAATAATGTAAGAAAATCTGCACTACTTTAAAGATCAGGAAAATATGAATGAATCGCTGCAAATATTTTTTTCATCAAAAATTGCAAGTGCTAAAAAAACATTTTGATTAAAATTGCAAGGATGTAATACTTTCATTGTTATATTTGGTGCTTTACGCAAACCAGCATCAAGAGCGAGGTCTTTTCCATAATTATTGTCAAAGGTGCTCCATTTAATTTCTCCGAAACATACAATTATAAGATCTTTAAAATTATTAAAGTTGAAATCTGGAAATAAAAATGTTTTGGAATTTTTTTAAATTTTTTTTTTATTTTTTAGTTTACAATTATAAATTGTAATATAACAACATATAACTTTGGCATCTGAAAGAAGATCCTAATGATCTTGTCGCCAGAATCATACAAAATATATCATACGTGTATATATAATAAAATAAAAATTCAATTGATTTAATAACTATCAACAATGTAAAATAAACAAAAACTAAAATTAATTTTACAAATTATCCAGAGTGAAATAATTTTAAATTTAAAAACGACATTGAGTTTGTAAACGTTAAGTACTTTAACGTTTTGAAATGAAATATTTGAATGAAAAAAACGACTTTCAAAACATATTAAACGCATTGCGTGTTTCTGACGATGGTAGAGATTTCGTAATTTACTTTTAGAGGTACTTCCCCAAACAATACTTGAAAAATTTATATAGCTATGAATAAATGAGTAGTAGAGTTAAATTAAGTTTTGTTTACTTAGATAGTATCTGACCTTATATAGAGTTCCAATGTCGATATGATACTTCCATGTAATATGTAAATGCCTAAAAATTTTGTGACCGCTCCATTTTTATTTCAAATTTATCAATAAAAAGTTTAGGTAAGTTATTTTGTAAAAACGCTTTTTTGCAAGAGAGTGGAAAGGATCCATTTTGTTTGTCAATGCCTAAAGTTAACTTGTTGCACCTAAACCAGTTGGAGATGTGATTGAGTTCTTTATTCACATTTGAAAAAAGCTCATAAATGTTACTGTTTGATAGAAAAAAATTAGTATCGTCCGCAAAAATAATACTCATAAGGTTAGAAGCTTTATTTAAATCATTTATATAAACTAAAAACAAATGTGGGGTTAGAATAGAATCCTGTAGAACACCACATTTTATGTCATTTTATGTCAGAACACCACATTTTATTTTAAAAATAGTCTCCATAGAAAACAAATTGTTTTCTATTTTTCAAGTAACTTTTATACCATTTTATTAATTTGTTATAAATTCCGTAAAATTTTTAAGTAAAATTTTGTGATCGACCGTGTCGAATGCTTTTGATAGGTCAATAAAAATACCTAGTGTATATTGTGATCTACGAAAAGAAATGGAGATTTCACGAATGAACTGTGTTACGGCTTGTTCAGTTAAACAATTTTTTTTAAAACCGAATTGATTTTTATATAGAAGTTTATTTAGATTAAGGTAATTGTATGTTCAATTATATATAATTGTCTAAAATTTTTGAGAAAATTGAAAGAACTGAGATAGGGCGATAATTACTAATATTTGATTTTTTTCCGTTTTTGTATATAGGAGTAACTTTAGCTATTTTTGATTGGTCGGGGGATACACCTTGCTGCCTAGATGCCTGAAGACTTTATATAAAATACATTTTAAGTTTTCAAAGCAATCTATGACTATGTTGCCATTTATTTCGTCCGCACCCGTAGCTTTGTTTCTTTTGAGAGATTTGTAAGCTCTCTCAAACTCGTCAAAAGATAAGTCGGAATATAAATTATCTTTAAAAAGCAAATTATTTATAGGTTCTTGGATCCAAGAGCCTATAAATAATTCGCTTTTTGTAGATGATTTAAAAAGTTAAATTTTAATTATAAATTAAATTAAATTATAATTAAGGTATACCTAAAAAATATTTGTGATTTCGAAATCACTAAAATTTGTTTTCCTCAAAAGGAATCTTA